TTCTCTCCCCCACTCAGAGGCAGTACTCTCTTTGGAAGAACTGCAAGGATTGAAAATGATCCAGAAAAACTGCAAGGATTGAAAGTGATCCAGATTTTTAGAATTCACCCTCACCTTGACAACGCTAAAATTACAAGCAGCAGTCAACTCTTACAAGATACCCTTATTGTGTAACATTTACAAGCTGCCAAAAACATGCTAAAACTAATCAGATAACAAAGGTGAAGAGAAAACCTTCACCTGCCATGTAGCGAGCAGTGAATACACTTTTTATTTCCATGACATTTACTGGCAGAGAGGGGTTGGCTTAAGGCAGATGGGACTAACCTTCAATTTGTCATAGCGCTCGCTCAAAGCTGCCACCTGATGATCTCGGTGCCGCCCAACCAGTTTACACAAGGCACAGATTAACTGGTCATCTGTCACGCAGTACATATTCACCTTCTCATCCTCGTGCTCCAAGCACATCAGCCCTCGGATATGTGAGTCCGGAATTGGCTCAATCAGACGATGGCCTGTAAAGGGCTTCTTGTTCGGGTGAGTGGCTTTTAGGCACTCATCGCAGTAGGACACTTCACAAGTGACACAGGTTTTCACAGCATCCTGAGCAGGATCCTGGTCACAAAACTGGCAGAGGACCTTCTCGGCAGAGGTCATGGTGTTGGTGTCAAAGGCCCGCTCCCGGCGGGTCTCACTGGGGGAGTTGGGTCCGCTCACTGACGCTTTCTGGAACCTGTCAATGATGTTCTGCAGGGTGACGTTGCGCTTGAGCCCGTCTAGACCTCGCTGGCTGAGCGTGATGACATGCCGGCAGGTGGGGCACTGGAAGGCGGTGATGGACTCTACAGACTCGTTGGTGGCACAGTGTGACACTAGGATGCGGTGGGCACAGTTGAAGCAGAGGCTGTGTGCACAGGGCAGCAGGAGAGGATCCTCAAAGAGCTCCAGACAAATAGGGCAGGTCAGCTCCGACTCCAGTGTTTCCATCTTCAGGCAAAGCTCTCCTGTGTCATCAGCAAAATCCAAGGAAGCTGATCAGCTATCTGGAAACAGAATGTAAGATTTGATTAGGCACAGGGGGGTCAGCTGTCGGGGGCTGTCAGCTTTGAATGCATCTTAGAATCATTCCAAACACAGGTCATGAAAGGGTAAGTGTGTGTACATTCCAAATAATTCTCTTTCTATGGACTGGGGAAGTGAGAAGAGAAAAAACAAAAACAAAAACACACCCAGAGCCAGCAAATCAGCCAAATTTCCTCAAAGTTCTGGTCACTGAAAGTTACAATTTCTTTTTGTAATTTTGTTCTCTAAAAGGCCCCACTCCAATCTGGAAAGTAATTGAAACTATAATTTCCAAAATTTATATCTAATCACAATAATCATATTGTGTCACAGCCAGGCTTCACCTTGCGTGAAAAATTAAAATGTAGAAATGTTCATTAATGAGCTATAGATTCTTTTATAAGTTTGAATTTACGAACTTACATACTAAGATATGTATGTTTTAGGGACTCTCACTCTGCAAGACTAATGCAGACTTCAGAGCCGTAGAAAGATAGTTACCATAGAAATGTGCATGATGTGTGTGAAATCAAATGCATGGATTTCAGCAGAAATGATCACGTCTATGTACAAGTTGGCATTTTCTGAAATATATTCCTGAGAAAAGGCACTGAGTTTCACAAAGATGCTTGGAATAGAGGCAATAGTTTTTGGCATATGTCCATTACTCTTCTATCATTTAATGTGGTAGTGGGACACAGGTAGGCAGGGAGAAGCAATGAAAAATATCTGGGGGTCTTTTGCTGGCTGCAGTGAACTTGAGTACCGATTACTAATATTTAGAACAATGATCTAGTTAATTAGAACACGGATTTGAGTTCTAATTCATTTGATAAATTACTTTATGACAATGACAAGGATTAGAAAGCAATTTAAGGAGGCTTGCAAGGACTGCTGAGGGACCCTTCTGGTCTAGAAACTCACACTGTGGGCTTGTTACTATTGCAAGCAACAGGCCAGACTGGCAGGAGGTCCAGTCTCACACTCAGAGCATGTTGGCCTGGGCACAACCTCGGCCAGCTCTGTTGCTCCCCTTCAGGCCACCTTTGGGTGGCCCAGCTGCCTGCCCCCCTCCCCAAGGATAACGACCTTGTTGCTTTTGTGAACTCTCCTCTGCCTCCCCTTCAAAGAGGGTAGGGAAAAGAATCGCACACAAAATGCGGTTCATTAAGGGTGAGGCAGCCTCATGCTCATTAGCAGGCCTGGGAACCAAGCCTCTTTGAACCTTCTCCTTTTCAAGACCATTAGCAGAGGTCTGGAGAACAGTGACAGAGGTATTAGATGCAGCCCACTGCAGCCTGTGGGAGAATAGTGCTGTTCACCCAGGGGCAGAGAGGCCCAAACCACCCCGGGGGGAGGGGATTCTCAGCCACATTTATGGGAAGGTTTCCCATCCAAAGCCATGTTTAGTGATTCTGATCATCTGTCCTCATTTGTATTCACACCTCCACTTACTTAGAAAATTCATGATCGCTAGAATACTCTGACCTTTTCTGAAACAGCCTCCCTCAGAAAGATGATGTGGTACTTTGGTGAAACTAATGCTCATCTTGCTACCTAACTGAATGGGAACTGAGCATTAAAAGTTCAAAGTATGTCTTGAGCCTTTTAAAAATTAAAGAGCTACTGGCTTCATAAAAGCCTGATATCATAAAAAAAAAAAAACTTCAACCAATCTCTAATATTTACCACATAAGAAAAAAGGCGCAGCTGTGAAATAGTCACGCTTATTCATCTTTTCATAACCTGCGCTGGAAACCCTAGGGGCGCTCTTGTAACAAAGTTATCGTTCCTACTTGGTTTAGTCAGCTCTGCCTATATGTAAACGGCTCAGAAAAAACCAAAGGTTTTCCCAATTAATCATCATTCTGGTTAATCATGGGAAAATTTTAGAATTATCTCTAAGCCAAATTTCTTCTCTCTTCCCATCAGAAGCATCTAAATTAAAGGGAAAATGTAGCCCTTCTGGTCTGCTTTCTTCTCCGGTGAAAGAAGAACACCTACGGATGGATCTCAATTGAAGGATGAGCATCAAATTATGTCTGAAGAGATATGATGGTTGTATTTTAATGCAGGTCCTAGGACTCCGAGTGGTCACGTCAGATTTTTTTAGAGGTGATTCCAGTGGGGACTCCAGTGGAAATGCTGACCTTATGTCCATACACTCAAGAGGTGGTAACCGGGTGCCAAGCACTGAGCTGGTTCAGGAAGCCAAAGTCACATTCTCATCATCCCATCTCTGTGATCATGGGCCAACCCAGCATCACCTCTTACCTGGGTCATCTAAACGGTCTCCGGGCTTCTGCTCACTCTTACCCTGGCCTCTACAGTCTGCCCTCCACAAGGCAGTGAGCCTGTTAAAACACGACAGAACACGCCTCTCTCCTGTTCTGACCTTCAGGGGCTTCCCATCTCACTGAGAAATTCACCCGGATAAAACCAGCACCAAACAACACAGACTCGGTGAGATCGTTTCCTCCCACGCTACCTACTGCTCTCTCTGCTCTGGGCACATGACCTCCTTGTGACTTCTCAGACACACCAACCACATCCCATCCCTGGCTCACCCCCACTAGGTCTTTAAAAGTCCCAAGACTCTCTGCTCCACTGTTACCTTCTCTGTAAACCTGCATAAAACCAATTCCCCTACTACCACCATGATCACCGCCCATGGAGGCAATCCTGCTTTGCCCTTCCCCGTTTTTTTTTCTCCCTCATGATCCTCACTAACGTATTCTATTACTTTGCTTATTGCTTCTCCTCCCCACCCCACTGTCCCCAAAACTAGAATATAAGCCCTGTGAAAGCAGAGATTTTGCTTCGCTCTTTGAGGGATGTACCACCAGTGCCTAGAACAGCGGTTCTGAACTATATTAAAGGGCCGCAGCATTAGGAAGGTGGAGAACCACTGGCCTAGAACAATGCCCAGCACGTAGGACTCAAACATTCATTGATTCCATTAAATGTACTGATGTTGGGGCTGAAACCAAAAAAAGAATAAAACGTAGCTCTTGCCTTTAAAGATCTCTCAATATATATTAGAAGAGGGGTCAGGAAACCTTTTCTATAAAGGGCAAACTAATAAACATTCTTGGCTTTGTGAGCCAGAGGGTTTCTGCTGCACCTACCCAACTCCACCACCGTAGTGCAAAAGCCATCATATGCAGTACGAAAAGGAATGAGCGTGGCCATGTTCCAACACAACTGTATTTACAAAAACAGCTAACAAGCTGGAATTGGCCTGCAGATCTTATTTTGCTGACCCATGTATCAAAAGACAGAGATACATACAGCTAACCAGAATATAAAATGAAAATCACTCTTCAGAGCGGTATGAATAAAATGCTGTGTGGGCAACAATGGCAAGGATGGTGAAGCAAGACTTTTGACAAGCGTGTACAAGTTTCGAGTGCTAACAGGAAATGGTAGGCAAGGGGATTTCAACCTGACATCAATGGAAATAATGTGAGTCGAGTGCTTAGGGGCAATTCATATAAAAGAATGATTTAATAGGAGCTGCTCAGAACTGGATCTTTTTCTTTTACTGCCACAGTGCCCGGCATGGTGCTTTGTGCAAGTGCCTACACTCCAAACGGTTAATAGTTATTAAGTGATGACAAAATACCTATAGGTGGTAGGTGAGGCTCAGTCAATTTTCTCAATCTTTTGCCTACATACTGCCCAAAAGGAGGAGTTTGGGTTTGGTGTCTACAGCAGATGCCCTATTTCCCACTTTTATCCAGGTGTTGCCAAGGATCGTTTTTGTTAAATTTTTGTTAAATTACTCAACAATATCTTACTTATACACGTGCCATTCCCCTCTCTGAAAAACTAGTATGGTTTATTTTCTAGTTTTAAAATAACTTTTTGGAGACATTAAAATCCCATTCGTTCTTTCATCAGATATTTAAGTCCTTCTATGTGCTTGGTCCTGGGATAAGTACTGGTAACACTTGCCCCCTGCCTCAGTGGTCTCAATTCATTAGGAGACAGAAAATACAAACAAACTAATGCAACACAACAAAAGATGCAGCCAAGGACAGACAGGGAATAGTGAACTCTACACTGAGGGGAAAGGGACAGAGAGAGGTGTCCTGAAGGAGGGAAAGTGGGTTTTAAAAGATGAACAGGGGTTCGCCAAGCAGATAGTGGCGGGTGAGTGGGGTTTTTGGTTCAAAAGCTTATCTTTCTTTTGTCTCTTCTTAACCCTCATAATTTAATTTCCACTCAAAAAGAAAAAAAAATGCTTCTTAGCTTTCACTTCAATAGAAGGAAATCACACGTGTGCATATTGTTGTCAGGAAATTCTATAGCTCAACATTTTTGTGAATGGGCTAATTGGTCCTTATTCAGAAGAGGATGTGGGTAATCACAGGATCCCCTTACAACAAACTGGGGAGTGGCAACAATTCACAGCTCACTCCTCTGCCTGTCCATGGTTCACACATACAGAACAGGGCATGGAATAGTGAGCTAAAGGGGCGAGTTGGAGAGGTAGCCCGATAATCTAGGACATTCCACAGCTAGCTGTCTGTCCATGGGTGAGTTTCAACAGATGTTCTCTATAATCCCGCTAGCTCACTGTAATCCCTCTCCTGAGGAATAGAGTATTCAGTGACAAACTGCAGTCAAGGCCTGTATCCTCAGACACACTAGACGCAAGATACCTTTTCAAGAAACTTTTTTACAGATTCAAGACTTATGACGAAAGCACTTATTTAAAATAGAAAATTAATAAATGGGTGCTTTGATGGAAAGTAGCAATGTAAATGTTTTCATACCTCCCCTTTCTTCCTTTTCCTCCCTCTCTCATTCTTGTGTACCTTAGTCTGTTTTGTGTTGCTACAGCAGAATACTTGAGGCTGAGTAACTGATGAACGTAAAGAGCTTTATTTAGCTTAGGACCCAGCTTCTGGTGAAAACCACATGCTTGGTCAAAACAGGGAGAAGGTCAAAGGGGAAGCCTGCAGGTAAGAAAAAA